GGTCCGTCGGTTTCGGTCCCAGGCCGTTTTCACTAAGGGGAGGTCTACTACAGGCCGACTACTCGCAAACGTGCGGAAACACAGGTTTGCCTCGATGCGGTGGATCGTGAGTTCCCCGCGGCGGATCCAGGCCATTTGCCAGGCGTTGCCTCAGCGAGCGGTGGAACGCGCTTGTCTAGAGTTAGTCTACAGTCAGCCCGCGTGGTAAGGATGAACAATTTCCCAAGGTTGCCGCAGTGGCGAATCGTCCTGGTTTGCCTATAGACGCGCCGGAATATATTCTAAGAACCTTTTTGTGGCTTGCGCGAAACGTTCCCAGATATATCGGGATTGTGTTCTAAGGATATTGTTTCGGTTATGAGAGCTTTTTTTTTCCAGGAGTATTTCGTGGTAGGGCAAAAAGACCGGGATGGTCGGTCCCTGCCCTATCTACAGCCAGCGGGCATAGTAAGGAGGAACAACTTTCCAAGGTGGTTTCGGGTATAGCCAGGACCCCACGTAAGGGGACCCGGTTAGTGGTAGGGCCCCGGGGCCCTTGAATTGGCCAGAATCACTAAGCCAGGTCTGCTGTAGCTGGTGTTTGGCGGGTGACGGCAATTCCGGTTAGTGGAACGGGGCGGGGGGGGGCTTCCCCCAGTACGCATCATTAAACCAGGTTCCACCAAACACAGTTCTGCCAAGGCCCGATGGTTACCCTTGCATCCTTTCCTTTCGGCCCATCCCTGGCCGTTGTCGCTGGCCGCCCCCCCTCGCAAAGTGTCGACGTGGCCTTGCCAGGCCCTGGCATCCATGCCGTGCGCCCTTACTGTACGGGGTAACTGTGGGCCTCCCAGGTGGGGTCCGAGCAGGTGGTGTCGGTGGATCGTCGCAAATGCATCGCCGATGCATCGCCGATGTGGCTCGAGGTGATCCCTATTTTTTTCCACGCCGGCGTCGCCGACGTACCGCCGACGTCGCCGATGCATCGCCGATGCATCGGCGATGCATTTGCGATGCGGCGCCCTTCTGCGACCCCATCAATTTGGACCCAATTAGGGAGGCCTCTAGTTAGGTGTGTTATGCGTGACAGTCATATTAGGCTTTCGCTGGTGTCTTCCTTAGCTATTAGCGCTGATAGCTGCTCATTCGTGGCGCTCGTAGGCGCTAGTAGACACAGATAGGCGCAAGTAGGCGCTGATAGGTACTACTAGGCGCTAATTTTCGCTCATCGGAACATTGATTTACATTCATAGGCACTAATAGGGTGGAACCTGTCTTAAACTCACTCTCGCACACCATACACAAAACATAATCTAACCCAGGGCTCCAGCTAAACAGTGTTTTGCCGATTGCGTAGTCAGTTTTCGTTTTGAATGTGTTATGCTGCAAAGGCGGAACGAAGACAAGACAGAACGAGGGATCACGAAAGCACAGCGAGAACAGAAAGCACTGTTTAACCCAAGCCCTGCCCTGAGACCCGGTCGTCACACTTTTTTTGCCACCCGGCATTTCCGCGGGCCCCGCGGCCACCACAGATCGATGGGGCTCGCGCGATGACGCAGGAAGATGGGGTCTGGGGCTCCGGCCGTGATTCTCCACTGTGTGGTTTCGCAGCTTCGATCGCAGGGGATTTGGTCCGAGCAGGTGGGGTCCGCCGCGAGAGGAGAGTCAACTCGCGGGGAGCGGGTTGAGGCCGAGATAGCGTGTTTTCGGGGGCGGCCGCTCGCGCACGCTGGCCAATTCGCTTTTCGGCGCCCCCGTTTAATTAGCTGTACTTCTGGTGCAGCCAACTCTGCCTCGCCGCCGACGGAAAAAAAACCTTGGCTCAACCCCAGGGGCGTGGAGGTGATCGCGCTTCGCTCATCGCGGTCAGGGTTGGAGACCTGCCCTTTTCTGGGCTGTGCTCGCGAAGCTACCCTGAAGTCGGGCGTGTCCCTCGACAGGAGGGCCAGTCAAGAATGGTCAAACAATCGTGTAGGGATGTTTTTTTGTTTTGTTTTTTGTTGTTGTTTTCGTTTTGTTTGACATTGTGTGTATAATATACTGAACCCCGAACCCACGATAATAAAGTACCCCCTCCTTAAGTAGTTTGAGTTTTTTATCCTCGGCCTCGACGGTTTTCAAATAGAGGCGGAGGGCGCGGAGGCCGAACTTCATTATCACGGGGAAAGTTCGCCATCGAGGTTACTTCTTTCTTATGTTGAGATAACAACATAAGAAGGAAGTTTTGAACTCTCTCTCTCTCTCTTAGTTTCTGTTTCTGTTCTCTCTCTCTCTTGTTCTCTCTCTCTCTCTTTCTCTCTCTCTCTGTCTCTCTCTCTCTTTCTCTCTCTCTCTCTTCTCCTCCTCCCCCTGGCGCCCTGAACTTGTTTATCGCGGGGGTTGATTACCCCGGGAAAACTAAGCACATGAGCTCCCCTACACGAGCAGATGAACATTCTAATTTCCATCAAGCGTTTACAAATTAAATCTAATAAGTTTTGAACTTTGGATTTTCGCTTCCTCCTTCTCCTCTCCTCTCTCCTCCGCCTCCTCCTCCTGCTCTTCTTTTCTTTCTCTCTATATCTCTTTTTATTTCTCCTTCTTCTCGCCCCCTGGCGCCCTGAACTGAGACAAACCATTGTTGAGGATGTCTCAACCGAGACAAATCATTGTTGAGGACGTATCATACAGGACCAAAGACCAAGGATCCTCAAGATGTCTTTGGCTTTTTCCTCTTGATATCTCTTTATGCTGGCTCTGGCGGGCAACTTTTATTACCTCCCCGAAAACCCCGAACTTTATTACCTCTGGGGGTTTATTCTCGTGGGTTCATGGTTGTATATATATATATATATGTACACATAGATGATTTTTAAATATAAAAAAGAATTAAACAAAAACGTCCAGAATCCGCCTCTAGGGGGGCATGCCCGACCTGAAGCTACCCGCGCATCGCTGGGCGCGGTGCGCGAGATCGGGGGGGGTGCCCTCTCGCCTCCACGGCTGGACGCAGCTCGGGAAGGGCTGGTGTCGCTCGGGCCCTCGGGGGCGGTTCCGGGGGACCTCTTGTCGACCTGCCGTGGTTGGTCTGCCCTCGCCCTGCTCCGAGGCGTCCGCGTGGCCAGGCCTCCCAGATGGGCGATGGGGCCGTCGATGCTCACCGCCCACCAGAGCACCCCAACCCAACCCGAAGGCCCCGATTTGCCCTCCATTTCCAGTGAGTGGGGGGGGGTCGGGGAAAAAATACGCACGAAGCCCGTACCCCCTCCCCACCCCGAATTCGGGTCTTCGGGTTGGGTTGGGGTGGTTTGGTAGGTAGTCAGACGCTCGGTGGCCGCATGCGAACCCTATCCCACCACCCCACGATTTCTAGCGGCGGAGGTGGGGTTCACTTCGGTCGGGAGGCCCCGAGCGAAGTGAAGTCCACCTCCTCCACTTCAAACTCGTGGGGTGGTGGGGGAGGTTTCGCACGAGGCCTCCCAATCTCCGCTACCTCGGCGATGCATCCTCGATGTGGCGCGATCCTCCAACCTCATCTACTCGGACTCGGAGGCCTCCAGGGAGTGGGCTCCTGGCGGAGTAGGGTGCTGCGTTTTTGGCAGCGTGCGCGCTCCCGGGGCCCTCCCCAGCGCTCAGGGTGAAAGCCGGGCCCCTGGGAAAGCTCTGTGGTCTCGGGCGGACGGCAATGTGGGGGCAGTAAAAGCGGGGGGATCGAGGACTGCAGGGAAGTGCCCCTGAAGGGGTCCTCCTTGGCCCCTAGACTGCCTCCGCGGGCCCACGAGGTGCACGAAAGGTGCACGCTTCTTCAACCCACGTTTATTGCCCCCCCGTCAGCGGACACGCGACATGACCCGTCTGCACCCCTGGTGGCTGCCAAGAGGGGGCTGGATCTCATGGCGGGGGCCATGACATCTTCCCGGATTTCATGGCCCCTCTCTTCTCTCAGGAGCAGAAAAATCGGGGGCGGCAAAGAAGGGGCGATGACGAAGGGGGGGTGGATCTCATGGCGGGGGCAATGATATCTGCGCAGATTTCATGCCTTCTTCCAATGCGTTTCCTGGCCCACCGCTGGGCCGCGCACATGCCGCTGGCCATGATTTGCGCCACCCCCTCTTGGACGCCCCCCTCTTGGCCGACCCCAAGTAAAAACACACACAGACAAATCATGGCCGATTCCAAGGACAACATGGAAATATGGGAAGTGGAGGGGAATCTTCATATCCAGAAGATCGGGAAAATATGGTGGATCCTGGGAGTCGTGTCTATTTTGCTGTGTGTCCAGGGGCCCCCTCATTCTTCTTTCAATACGTCCTTTGGCCCCCCTCGGGCCGCGCGCTTGCCTCGGGCGCCCCTCTCCCCCTCTTGGACAGCCCCGAGCTCCACCACCCGCTCACCTAGTCATGCCCAGGGTGGGGAGCCGTGTGATGCTCTCTGCCTCGGGCCTCTCGGGGAGCGCTCGTGGCGAGAATGGATGCCGATCGTGGGCCCTGGGGGGCTGAAGTCGGGTCAGGGGCAACGATCGGGGATAGGGGGGGGGAATAGGAATAGGGGGGGGATAGGAATAGGGGGGGGATAGGGGATAGGGGATAGGGGGGGGATAGGGGGGGGGGGGATAGGAATAGGGGGGGGGGCCTCGTAGGTCCGAGCCATCTGGAGGTCCTCGGGGGTTGCTGTGCACCCCTCCAGAGGCCCTCTCGGGCCGTCTTGGTTTGCTGCGGCCCTCCCGGCTTTCCGAGGGCCCCCGAAAAGGGCCAACCACGCCCTTGAAAACATGGAACCTCTAGTCGTGGTCGTGGTCGTGGTCGTGGTCGTGGTCGTCGTCGTGGTCGTGGTCGTGGTCGTCGTCGTGGTCGTCGTCGTCGTCGTCGTCGTCGTCGTGGTCGCCGTCGTGGTCGTGGTCGTCGTCGTCGTGGTCGTCGTCGTCGTCGTCGTCGTGGTCGTGGTCGTCGTCGTCGCCGTCGTCGTCGTCGTCGTCGTCGTCGTCTTGGTGTAGTGCGGCCGCCCGCCGGCGCCCCTCCTGCCGCCGCCGCGCCGCCCAGGAGCAGAAGAAGAAGGCGGGGGAGAAGGAGCGCAGCGCGCCGCCGTCGGCGGCGAGCGAGGGGGAGAGAGTCAGGAGGAGGATTTCCCCAAGGCGCCCCCCTCGTCGACTGAATGCCCTCTCTGATGAGGCGTTTCAGCTCTGCTGTAAGAATAGGAACGAAGCTCACGGCTGCGCGTGCCGCGTTGAGCATTCCGAGCACGCGCGAACGCGCCGCTAACCCAGCCGAGGCGACGAGGGCAGGACCGGTGTGCATGGCTTCGGGATCACCTTCACCAGCCATGGGCCAGTCAGTCAGTCAGTCAGTCAGTCAGTCAGTCAGTCAGTCAGTCAGTCAGTCAGAAGGAGGGTTTCGCTCGCCCACTGGAGGGCTGATGGGTTCCAGGCCACGTGAGAGGGAAAACAGCGAAGACGACGCAATCCCAAAAGCCTAGCGTGCACGTGCAGCATGGGAGGAATCATGATGAAGATGAGGATGAGGATGCTGACGATGATGGTCATGTTGATGCTGACGATGATGACGATGACGATGACGATGGTGATGCTGATGTTGGTGCTGATGATGATGACGATGACGATGACAATAGTGATAATGATGATGATGGCGATGATGATGACAATGGTTATGACGACGATGCTGACGATGCTGCTGATGATGATGTTGATGATGGGAGGTGACGCAGACAGGCACACGCTGCCCAGGCCCACATCCCCGTCAAACTCGGCAGCCGCGAGCGCTCCTCCCGAGAGCCCGTATATAGGGAGATTTCCCCCAGAACTAATTTCTCGGGGGCGGCCAACAGGGGGGTGATGACTAGGCTGTGTGTGTGTGTGTCATGGCGGAGGGCATGATATGTCCGTCGATTTCATGGCGCCTGTTCTTATTTCAGTACGTCCCTGGCCGCCCCCCAAAAGTCGCGCACATGCCGCGGGCCATGATTTGCGACTTGGACGCCCCCCTCGTGGCCGCTCCCGAGTGCGAGCTCCCCCCAAAATCTCATGTCGACTCCTCCGACCCGATCCGATTCGATTTCGATCGGTTCCGGTTCCTGCTCCAGTTCGTCTTCGGATTCCGATCTGGATTCCGATTTCCCACGTGAGGCCTCTTTCGAGTGTAGATTTCCGTCCCGACTCGGCTGCTGATTTTTGCCGATCCGATTCAGTTTGATCGCCGATTTGGTTCACCGACTCGATTATGGGCTCGTCTGCACCTTGCCTCATCGTCCTCCTGCTCGTCCTCTTCCTCCGTCTGCCCCACCCCACCCCTCGGGCAAGCTCCCCGCCAGTGCGAAGACTGCGCTGGCCAACGTTTAAGAACACAAACACCCAAAGACGTCGTCAGGTTTATGCCGAGTCAGGGAGTCAGTTGAGTCCTTTTCCTTGGTCGAGAGGGCTTGCGGGTGACTTGCTCGTGCCCTCATAGCTAACATGTCCACAAGCCCCACCCTTCCTCCGTGCTGCCGCGACCCCGGCACACGCCCAGCTTTGAGACGAGTGGCCACCCGGGCCAGGCGTGTAAGGATGTCAGTTCCTTCTTCCCTCGCCTCCGTCCTCTTCCTCCTCCTCCTCCTCCTCCTCCCTCCTCCTCCCCCTCTTCCTTGGTTTCGGCACTCCCATTGTTGGAGGATCCGCAGGCCTGGCTGAAATGCAAGAGCCCCATTGCTGCGTTGATGCTCAGCCTTTACAGGATCTGTTGGAAGCTGCTGGACCCTTTTACTTTTCTTGATGATGAAGGTTTCTCTTGGGATCTGAAGTTCTATTCGGCCAGCTGGATATCTCACATTGTGAAGCTGGGAGTGCGGAGGCATATTGACCGTGACGCGCTTGCGGCTATGCAGGGTGCGGGCTCAACCAGGACGGGCCCGATCTCTTGGCAGCCGATATCAGAGGCGCTCCACGGCAAGCGACTCTCGCCTCATCAGCGTCGCTCACTTCGCGGTGTGATTATTGGCGGCCACTGGACGCAGGTCAGGATTGCTCGTGCCTTTGCTGGACATTCGTCACTACGTACCAGGTGCCAGTCGGCGCCTGGCACGCTGTTCCATCGTTTCTTCGTGTGTGACGCCTTTGCGGCGCAGAGGCGACTGCTCAGCCCCTTGGAGGTTCGAAGGGCAGCGCAGAGGATGCTTAGTGAACCTGAGGATAGACAGGATCGATTCGCGCGCGGACTTCTTCCACACCCAGGGCAAGCATTCCATGGTGCGGGCCGTTCCAGTCAGCACGATCTGATTGATGTGGATCGACGTGGGATCACTTCTGTAAGTGGCGGATTTGTGTTTGTGGACGGCAGCGCCTTCTCGACTCGTGTGCCTGAGTTGCGTTCAGCAGGCTGGGCCGTCACGGTTTATGATGCTGAGCGGCGCAGAGTTGCACGATATCACGGTGTGAAGGGCCCAGTCAAGTGGCCCGCGACGGAGAGGACTATGCGCTCATGAAGGCTAGCCAGCTGGTCATGGGCTCTTATCAAGTCAAGTCAGATTGCAAGGGCTCGGTTGTTTGCTGTCACAGACTTGAGGCGGCAAGCGGGCCAGGCAACCTGAGAGCACACTTGTGGAAGCGCACTAGGATGAACGACGATTTCAGCCGCGCTCCCGTTTTGCACGTAAAGGCGCACACGAGTATGGCAGACGTCAGGGAATGAGTCATCAGCCAGTTCGATCGGGATGGAAATGCGGAGGCTGATGGGTTGGCCAAAGCCGGGGCCTCCTTCCATCGAGCTTCGGATGTTCAGGAGCGATTCGTTCGTGGCACCATGCGCCTCCACAAGATGCTGCTGTGTTACGTTGCCCAGTTCGAGGTGTGGTTCCACGAGCGGGGTGACGATTTCAAAGATTATTTTTTCCTGAGCCTCAGGAGGATGATCTGGCCACTCCTCAGCAGCAGGCGGCGGCGAAGGAGCTGCTTTTGCCGTGGCCCTGGTTGGTGCAGAAGCATGCTTTGCTGGAGTACCCAGTGGTTGGACACGACCGCTCGCTGATCTTTTGTACCAGCTGGTGCAAGTACTCTGATACGGGCAGCCTCAACCATCGTGGGCTAGACAGCGTTTGTTGTGGCAGAGAAGGTGACAGCGGCAGGATTGCGGAGAACACGAGGCACTTCAGCAATCTTAGACATCCACAGTCGCCGCGCACATATTTCTCTTATGGATGCTCGGAGGCCTTCCGCCAGAGCCCGAGCCCTGGTGTGCAAGTCAAAAGGTTGGCGTGACCCGCTGAGTGACATGCCTGAGGTCGACCATAGGCCCAAAGGCAAAGTCCGAGCTGAACCCCAGCGATATGTGGACACCAGTTTGATTTTGAAAGATCATGGTCTCTTATACCCTGAAGCTTTGGAGTTGGGTGCTTCGCACGAGTCAGACAGCGATGACGACGTGGAGCCAGACATGGTATGACAGCCCACAGAGGGAGAGTGCTCCCCATGGGCGACTTTCAGTACGGAATGATGGCTGCATGTGGTGTTTGATCCTCGCGGGCCTCATCAACTCGTTTTTTTTCTTGCCATGGCTAGGCTCGGTTAGGCCATGCCCAGGCATTGCACTAACTCGTCGTGGCGTTTGGCGACGTCCGTCCGAGGGCCTTGGGTTGCAGCGCTGGCTCTTGGACCCTCCAAGCGGCGGGCGCGCCGAGGGGCGACGTCCGTCCGAGGGCCTTGGGTTGCAGCATCGCTGGCTCTTGGACCCTCCATGCGGCGGGCGCGCCCAGCCTGTTTTGCCGCGCGGCTCGAGCGTGGTGATGTATGACCGCGCCACGCTCTCTTTCCACGTGTTCTTCTGTGACGTGGACCTCGTGCTGCACCACGTGTGCACTGGCTCCCCGCTCGTGGCGCTGGGAGCCCTGTGGGTGCTCTTCTTCGCCGCGGCGGGCTTCGTGCAGGTGAGCACGGGCCTGCCGCAGGCCCCGTGCACTCTGGCCGCCCGCGGGGCCGGCTGCGGGGTAGGCATGCTTCTCGCTCCCCTCCCTGGTGCTTGCAAGGTGGTCCTGGCCTTCGGGCTCCACCGTGTAGGTGCTGGGGCGGGGGTTTGAGGTGTGTGCCTGCCTCCTTTCTGCTCGGATCCAACCGCCCCTCGGCTTCCGCTCGCTCGTCCCTCCCCCTCTTCCTCCTGTCTGCTTGGGGTAAAGGTCACCCTGCGCGCCACTTTCGAGTTCTGCCGCTATGGAGCTCCAGTCCGTACGAGCCCGTGCCCGTGCGCGTGTCTGTGGGGTGGTGAGAGCCCCCTGGAGGGGAAGCGGATTCCGATGAAGTGAGCGCTTGCAGTGGGAAGAATGGGCCCCTGGCTGCAAGTCGACACGGACGGACTCATCATTCCACAAGCGGAGAGCGACCGCCCGCTCGAGATTCCATCTTCCGGCACGTCGCGCGTGGATCTCGCACGGCTCTGCGCACGCCCACCGCGCCCGGGGGTGTCCACCGGGAGGCCCGGCACCCCCGCGCGCCAAGGGCTGCCCTTGCCTGGGGAACTTCTCCTTCGGTACCCTGGGCTTCGTGGATTAGTGCGAGGTTTGCAGTCAACCCGCATGATCAGGCTGGGCAACACCCCCTCCGTTACCCTTGCATCCTTGCCTCCGCGGCCCATCCTTGGCCACTCTCGTTCGCCACGCCGCGCTCGAGAAGCTTCGAAATCGGCGTCCAGGGCCCCAGCATCCTTATCGCGCATTCTTTTGGTACGGGCCGGCGGTACGTGCGGACCACGGCCGCGCAGTCGGCTGGAACCCAACCGCGCGCGAAACGCGCGCGCGTGGTCCTGGCGTGCAGTCAGGGCGCTGAAGAAGGAACCCTTTTCGTCGGGGAGGGGCTCGGCGTTCGTTGATTGTTTTACGGTTTGGCTTGGGTTTTCCCGAGGATTTCGATGGGAAGTCGAAGCTTAACTTTTGGGATCGAGGGGCCTCGTTCCTTATTTAGGGTTCCTTAGGTCAACGCCCCGACTGCATGCTCATGCCACGATTCCGACCCCGAGGTTCGATCCGACCTTCCGCATCGACGCCGGGCGAGCGTGCCGCGCGCCCTGCCGCTCGCTCGGAACCCCCGCGCGCGGGCACGCCCCCCAG